ACACACCGAATAGTCAACCAAATGCTCCAAAAGGAATCATAGGCTCAACAATTATAGTAGGTGACTTCAATACACTGCTCTCTGAGAAAGATCACAGGGGAAAAAACTCTACAAGGAGGCTAGAGATCTAAACACTACAATTAGACAATTTGACCTGATAGATATTTAGGGAGTTCTTCAAAACACACACACACGCACACGCACACGCACACGCACATGCACACGCACACACACACACGCACACACACACATCACATTCTTTTCAAGCCCACATGGCACATATTCAAAGATAGACCACATGCTGGTGCATAAGTCAAACCTGTAAAAATTTAAGCCCAATTGATATCAAACAAGACCTCTCTCTCTGACCATTGTGACATAAGGCTGGAAATCAACAAAAGGAAAAATGAAGAAAACAAGGGTAAACAACTGGAGGATGAATAACTATTGCAAAACGAGTGTGTACTGGCCCAAATCAGAGATGAAATTAGGAAATTTCTAGGACCCAACAAGAATGAGAACACAACGTACCAAAACCTTTGGGATACAGCAAAGGTAGTTATCAGAGGAAGTTTCATAGCAATACGTGCACACATGAAAAAGGAAGAGAGACTTATGATTGATATGCTGGCACAAAATTTACAGCAACTAGAGCAGAGTCAACAGGACAATCCTACTCTGAATCAGAATTGACTTGACAGCACTGAGAATTTGTTTATAGTTCAAGAGTTCCTGAGTGATTGATTGGCATCATTCTGTCTATCCTCAAACCAAAATCAAACGCAGTGTCATCGAGTGGGTTCCAATCCACAGACGGAGTAGAACTGTCCATGCAGGTTTCTGTCCATGCTGTAACTCTTTATGGCGGTCTTTCTACCTCATCCGGTGGTTTTGAACTGTTAGTCTGCGGTTAGTGGCCCAATGTGTAACCCATTACACCACTGGGGTGGTTCCTTCGGTCTATCCCAAAGCCCCACAAAACCAATAGTCTTTCAAAACCTCACTCACAGCAGACTTTCTCTAAGA